GTTGTCCATTCAGTCATTTTCATCACATTGCAGATCCTCGGTTATTACGTACATCACGTATTTGTGCATGAACCTTGGCTTGTCGAGATCTATTCGCATTGTGTTGTCCATTCAGGCCTTTTCATCACATTGCAGATCCTCGGTTATTGCGTATTTTGGAGCTGCATTGCAATATTATGTATGTTGGGGCTGCATTGCAATATTGATTGTTCGGATAAGTGGCATCTTAGTCTTCGGCTGCGCCATCTTGCACTTTGTATGAGTGGTCGATTCTTGTTCCGTCTGCACGTTTATGGTATGCAACACTATCACTGCTGTTCGGTCCAAGTTGCCTGCACGTTTTTATGGTTACTGTAATGGTCTTGAGTGCTGGTCATACTTAGGTAGGATAGTGGGACAGGGGGTGCGCTAGGGGAATTGACGTGAGGATGGGATGGGAGGTGATCTCATATTCCAGGACATCGGCGGGTCATAACTGCAGGTGATCACTGTGCACTCACTGACCGGGTTGTACGACACCTAAGACTTTTATGAAAAACAAAAGGGAAAAAAAAAAAGGTGAACAAATGTGGTTGAGAATCCCTCAACATCTCAACCCGAGACTGAAGGTTGTGCTGGAAAACGGGTCCAGCGTCCCATGGTCTGCAGATCCTCGGTTATTACACTTGTGACGATGAGGTTGGGAAGTGGGAGTCACGTACGAAGACGTTGTAGGCGTATTCTGGCGTAACTGGCACCCGCTTCCCATCCGTGTTGAAATGCGGGGTTCCTTGTGTGTTTTCTGTTCATATTGCATTGCATCTCTCTCTCTCTCGCTCCCTCTCTATACGATGACGTTGTAGCCGTATACTGGCGTAAGTGGCACCCACTTCCCAACCGTGTTGAAATGTGGGGTTCTTTTTGTGTTTGCTGTTCATATTGCATTCTCTCTCTCTCTCTCTCTCTCTCTCTCTCTCTCTCTCTTTTTCTCTCTCTGTGGTTGGGAAGTGGGAGCCATATACGAAGACGTTGTAACCGTATCATGGTATAAGTGGCACCCACTTCCCAACCGTGTTCAAATGTGGTGTTCTTTGTGTGTTTGCTGTTCATATTGCATTGCGCGGAGTGAGACTTATCTGCCATTCTCTGTCCATAGTTCAGCAACTGCACTACCTTTTTGATAAATGTGAGGAGATTGTATTCATTGTCGAGCATAGAAAATGTAACACGAATGAAGTGACTCGTAGGAAGCAGTATCATCGATCGGGACAAAAAGAAGTACCGTTAGTGGGTGACAGACAAAAGATCGTGATAGATTCTCCGTACTGTTAAGACATAAACCACGCAACAATTTGTTTACCTCTTCTCCTTCACAGGACACAGGATAGCAGTCAGTAGCATAGCACGTTTGTCATAGCCGAGACATGTTCAACAATCGATGCGCTTCATCGCTGACACGTGTTGCGGACTTTTGAGCAGATATGTGAATGATTTTCCTTACTATGAAAATAGAAATTGATAGCGCACTGCAGCGATCGTCAGTTTCAAATTGTGTGCTGAACGCAGTCAAGTTTCTTTTGTTATGTTTATTCACGGTTTTTCATTTATTATTTCATTTTCGGTTACAGTGCATATACGATTTTTGAAAAATCGCAAACATTTGCAATTTACATGCTCAAAGTTGGCATATACAAACGTGTATGTTTTTTTTTCTTTTTTTTTAAGTCAGTCTTTGTTGTATTATAAAATACCATTTCTTTGTTCGAATAATGTTGATAAATGTCGAATGACCAATTGTGAACAACATTATGTAATCGATCTTGCAGGGTTATAGTGCTCGACATTACAACAGGAAACAAACAAATTAAGGTACACCGTATACAACAATGGCGAGCATCACTCCTGTAACGAGCGTGAGGCTGAGGGTGAGCCGAGGGAGAGGAGAGAGAGGGAGAGAGTGAGAGCACACATACACACTCACTCACTCGACACGACGGACTCGGACTGAGGATCGGACGCGACACAGTGGCAAGGCACAAAGTCGAAGTCTTGGATTCCCGAATGCCGAAAACAGCAAGTCACACTGAGTACGAGTACAGCAGCAGAGAACTGGTACGAGACTGCCCCCGTACCGTACGGGGAGCCGGTATAAGTACCGGTGACACATACAGTACCAGGGGCATTTCTGCAAAGGCCCCCGAGGGCAGAACTGAAAAATGCAGTATTTGAAAGTGGCGCCCGAATTGCAGCATGGCGCCAGTTGTCCGAAATCTTACGGTACCAAAGGAGGAGTTTGGAAAAAGGGCGCCGGGCCGAAAACGGGATGCAGCTGAAACAACAAGAAGATAGACCAGGGATCGAGCCCTGGCGAAGTCCGTAACACTATCGCCTCCCTCTAGAAGGCAACATCCTGGCTGCCAAAAATCATGAAGCAATGCTGAAATCTGTGAAGGACGGGACGGGGCCAATCACTGGTTAACAAGTCGAAAGGGAAGAGGGGTATAATGTGGGTGGCATGGGCTGTGGGAGTAAGAGGGAACAGGGTTTGGTACTGGTGAACAGAGTTGTCCTACTGATGAACTAGGGGGGGGTGCAAGGAACAGGGTAGTCCTACTGATGAACTAAGGGGACTGCATGGTTCGCTATAGGTTAAGGGGGAACAAAGTTCAGGGAACATGGAACTTCTATTGATGTTCTACTGGGTAAGGGAAACGGTGTTCAGGAAAACAAGGTATTTCTATTGATGTTGTAGTGGGTA